TCTCTCTCTCTCTCTCTCTCTCTCTCCCTCTCTCTCTTTCTCTCCCTTTCTCTGTTGCCTCTGAACTGGAATACCGTTGCCTGACTTAGTCTACTGACATACATAATAATGAAATGTTGCAATTGGAGTCCCGTTGAGGTTCGTGTTGGGTTTTGTTTGTTTCATTTAGGTTTGTATTATTGTTTTCCTTTCGGAATGTTTGGTTTTGTACATGTGTATAAATCGTTTTCCGTACGAAGTGTTTGGCTGGAGAGCACCCCTGTGGGTGGTTGGCAGCTGCTCTGGTGTGATTTGCTCCTTCTTTCCTTTCAAACACCTGTCGTTCTTGTCTTTCCTTCTTCTTTTCTTGGGTTTGTTACTCGTTACTCTCTTGTAACACCTCTAATCATCGACGTTTATATGATCTTATTGTGTTGCAAGTGCTGTAAAACTCTTACTAAAACACAACTAAGAGCCTACCTTGTTCCTCATTCTCCCGCTGTATCTGTTTGCCGGAACTTTTTCAACTCTCCTTTTTTTTCCTGCGCAAAAAATAACCGCGATCGTCGTGTAACGTGCGGGTTTGTTTGGTTGTTTTTTTAAAGCTCAGACGAACAAAAGAATTTGTCGGTGGAATGTTTCATCAGTTTATCCCCATGCCTCTACCCGATTTACAAATGTAAGGTTCTAGAGAAAGGCGCTTCTAGTGGAGTGGGTAGGCACTTATTGCCGTCACCGTCAGAAGACATGAGTTCGATTCCTGTGTTGGGGGAGTATTTTTATCGAGTATCCCGGGTGAGTGGTTGGCGAGTGCTCAGGTGTGGTTTGCTCCTTCTTTCCTTTCAAACATCTATCGTCTTTATCCCCCCCCCCCTCCTTCTTTTTTGTGTTTGTTACTCTCTTGCAACACCTCTAATCTTCGGCACTTGTATGACCTTATTGTGTTGCAAGTGCCGTAAAACACTTACCAAAGCTAAACAAGTATCCAGGTCTTAACAATAGATAGCATTTGTATAGCGCAATTCCCCGTTCAGCAGCAAGCTCTATGCTCTTCACAATCTGTACTATTACCCC